AGAGAGAGAGAGAGAGAGAGAGAGAGAGAGAGAGAGAGAGAGAGAGAGAGAGAGAGAGAGAGAGAAAGAGAGAGAGAGAGAGAGAGAGAGAGGTAGGAGATACAGATCATATATTCCAATAGCAATTGAATCATGATGAACATATTCCCCTTCATATTTAATTTATACCCTTGCCCATAGTGAAAACTAAACCCCTTCACAATAATCCCTTACCTACAAGAGACAGTAGACATTTTACCCACATTAAAAAACATACATAACATCATTTATATAGCACTACTTCATGAAGATCAGAGCGCTCAAAGAGTGGACTACAGTAGTTCATACAGTAACTTTCTTCTCCCCTAAGGGTCTCTTCGTGTCTGAGCTGGCCGGTAAACCGGTACCAGCTATCTCTCGTCTGTCCACAAACCAGTACACTGGGGTAACCTACTGCTCGTCACAAAAGATGTACTGGGTTCTTTAAAGTGCACATGAGCCATTGTGTACACTGGGCCTACGATTTATAGTCTTTATCCGAGAAGACTTGCTCCACCTACAGAACCATAAGCGAGCGTGCCTTTCGAACCAGCACCGATATTATGGCTGTAGGTTGCAGGGCCCATGCCTTAACCGCTTGGCCATTTGACTTGCCAAAACAATGTGAAAAAAATGTTTGCCCAGCTTAAGAGTGAAAGCAGGCCTCTTCCTCATGGATACTTTAACGATAATGCAAAACATAATCCTTTACCATGAGGACCCCAGAGAGATTTTAGAAAATAGAAATATTGACATTTGGATGAAAAACAACTCACAGCAAAATCATCAAAATTATTGGCCCAGTAGTTCAACTGCTCATATGTACCACACTTACGCATTCTGAAAAAAAAAAAAAAATTAAAATAATTTAAAGTATAATCTTGAATGAAAAGCAATACACAGCAAAACCTAATCAAATTCAAAATTTATAGTTTCATCAGGTTTTTGTAAGAGCTTGTTCACAATATGTCCTTTTCATGGACTTTGTTCTACTTGGTGGTAGAACAAAGTCTTCTCAGATAGGGCTATAAATTGTAGGCCTATTGTACATAATTGGCTCCTGCGCACTTTAAAGAATGCAGTACATCTTTTCAGACTAGTAGAGATATACCCCAGTGTATTGGTTGCCCTTTCAGTGCACAGCATGAATGTTGATAGCAAAAATTTATCTAGTAGTAGCACAGATTTGAAGAATGAAATCAAGCTGATTTGGCTGATACCAGCACTACACAAATATACCCTACTATCATTATTATTACAAATAGCACCAACTCACACAGCCTGGTGAAATCATGTTGATAATAGCACAAAGCTTGCGTAAGTTAACATTAATCATTTTTAGATCAAACTAAATTAATTTATCATACTAATACAAGTCTCCCTCCAATTAAAGACCACTCACGGTCTTTAGCAGCATTGATCTGTAATTAGATCAATAAAGATAAAGACATTTGTTAATATGGTACCTCACAGAGGTGCTCTTTAATTGAAGGGATCTTTAATTGGAGGGGGTCTTTAATTAGAGGGTGACCTGCAGTTTCAAACTTGATAAAATTCCTTAAGTAAGTAAAATTAATATCCACTCTGTACCTTTCAGGATCTCGCTTTTCATAGGTAATTTTATCATAAAAAAGCTGGATTCCAAGAATGGCAAAGAAATAGTAGATAACCTAATGGACATAAACAAACAAAAATGAATAGTTACATTATATAATAGAATAGAATATTATATGCAACAGGAAAAAAAATCATAATTATTATGTTCCATAGTTTCAATATAAATTGTAGTTGTTTCATGAGCACTGGACCCCTTGTTGGGTAAGAAGCCAATCATTTCTTCAGGGACCACTGCCTTGAAAAACAATTTTAAAGTCCGAGTGTGTCAATAGCTCCAACTTTTGTGGGTCGAATGTGGGTGTCGACCCTATCAGGGGTATTGGACCTCTAGCCGGCGACGTGAAGAACTTGTCAGGGACCTTCGACACCATGTTTGCAAACCATCTGTTAAACCTTTGTTAGAAAGTACCAATTTTTGTGTTCACGCTGGTTGAATGTAAATAGCCCTTTCAACCCATATTTGCATGATGATGCTTATAAAATGCTAATAACACTATGTTCCATGATTTAAATTCAAATTGTAGTTAATTTAACAGTTGGCACTGCTACCTATGGGAAAGGTTATTATACATGCAGGTATATTCAAAAAATAATCTTAAGGAAGTATAATCACTAAAAAAGTACAATTGATCATTATCACCACTATAATATATTTGGAGTGGTGTACTGGTCAATAGATAATCATCATCTTTTTTGTAAGTATTTTAGTTCAAAAGTTCAAACATCTCTTTCTAAGAGAGTAATCTATATGTAGCAACTTATTCTTGAGAGTGTACAGTAGTAAAAAATTTCCACGGAAAAAATGGCCCTGGTAAAAATGGCCCCAAATAACAGGTAGGTAAAAATGGCCATCAATGGTAAAATTTAGTAATGAAACTGATTTTTTAAACAAATCTTCAAGCTATTTAAATGCTGCAAAATGGCCATTTTTACCGAGGCCATTTTTGCCTAGATTCGTATTTCAGACCTCGAGGTAAAACAAAAGAGGAGCAGTGATGGATTTGAACCAGTGACCAAAGAATTTCCATGGTTCTGCACATACACAGTAGCTACAACCAGTTTAGCAAACAGAGCTATGCTGCTCTCTCATACTACTACTACTTGAGTTTCTGTGAGTCATGAACCAGTAAGCCCTCAATGGGGATTCAAATTGCTGGTAAACGGAGCGGTAAAGCCGGTTCGACTCTGCTTCTGGTGAGTTCTGGACATTTACTGGTTTATTTTTTCTTATCTCGGTCTATTTTCTCAGACGCCTTGGGAATTTCTTTACAATGTATATGAGCACTATATAAATCTTATTTATTATCATTAAGAAAACAATTAGCAATTTTGGCATTCAAAAAGTATACAAACACTGCTGAAATACAAAATATTTCTAATGCTTTCATATTTATTTTAAAATATATTGATTTTATGATAGTTGATCTCGAAAAGCCATAAAAATATATCCACTCCCTAAACCTTATAGTTTAATAACAACACTTGAACCGAAAGAAAACTTTCACTCTTAAGTTCATATTTGAACTGCTTATTATTGTTTGTATGTACTCAAGAACAGGGAAATCCCCTAACAATATTTCTGCTCCTTAAGACTCATAAAGTTAAAAAGTTGATGCAGTATCACTTCCACTTTTGTAATGGGAGTGTTAACTGCTGTTTAATTAGAACAACATAAAATAATGTAGATACCAAACTAATTTAAATATCTAGGTTATCTATGCTTGCTTGTTTATAAACCAGTAGGGGGCAAAGGATTTCTTTCATGAGCACTGGACCCCTGGTTTGGCAAGAAGCCAATCATTTTGTGAAATACAATTTTACAGTCTGAGAGTGTCACTAGCTCCCACTTTTGTGGGTCGGAGGTGGGTGTCAACCCTGTCAGGTGTATTGGACCTCTAGCCGGCGACGTGAAGAACCTGTCAGGGACCTTTGACACATTTTTGTGTTCACGCTGTTTTGAATGCAAAGAGCCATTTCAACCCATATCTGCATGATGATGCTTATAAAATTCTAATAACGCTATGTTCCATGGTTTAAATTCAAATTGTAGTAAATTTAACATTTGACACTGTTACCTACAGAAAAGGTTATTATCATGCAGGTATATTAAAAAAATAATCTTAAGGAAGTATAGAAAAAATACATTAATTGATTGTAAGAACTATGTATATAATAATCTTGGTGTATTCTTCTTATTATTATTATTATAAATACTATTATTTCCTTCTCATCCAATAGCAAGTACACTTGCTACTTACAGGATGAAATTATGCTTTATAAACCTTAAAGTCTTATATTGAGGCGTTGGGAAGAGAAGTTGTTTTTAGTAGTGAGAAAATGTCCTGCTGTGACAGGAATTGAACCCAGAACCCTGGGATTAGAAGGCAAGCATCTTGCATCTCCACTCCATTTCTCATTATAAACTTACCACTAGAATTCCCGCAAAAGCTCTTAGGTTCTTGATCAGATCCACGGTAGTCCAGGCCACAATTGCCATAGGCTATTAAGAGAAAATACTCAACTGTAAATATTTTGAGCAGTAAGGTCTCACTGGCTACAACCAGGGGTCCTGTGCCTTATGGGGCAGGTTTTTTTTTGTCTGGGCCATAGGCCCAAACTTGGCTGAGTGGGCCCCTTATGGAGAAGAACGTGCTAAAAAAAACACATTCTAATACGCCCTTAAAATGTCAAAAACGCCAATGAAGATGGGGCTTTTCCCCTTACCCAACTGAGCCTTATGTGTCTCCAAGCCCAGAGGCTAGTAGAGCCCCAAGAAGCCTGTCAGGACAATGATGATTAAAGTGATAGAAAAATTTTTAAAAATTTACATTATAATTATCATTATTATTCTTAATCATAGATATTGCTAACTAGGTGACCATAGTAATGGTGAGTATAAACAGGGAACAGTGAATATATATATGTGTAAAAGCAAGAAGACAGATAAGGATGTGAAGGCATCCAACAAGGGACAGATACAACAATGAATAAGGAAACAGAAAGGCATTATGTAAGAAAATATTTACATCAGACACAGGATAAGTGCATCAGGTAAGAAAACAATACAAGGAAGGGGTAAATCATCAGGTAAAGATGAGAGAAGACATCAAATAAGTGACAGGTAAGGATTGGATGACGAAGGAGAAGGAAGTTAGAAAAGACTGATGAAATGGATGTGACATTAGGTACGAAAAGGCGCCCAACATTAGGTAAAAAGACATCAGGTAAAGCAATGGAAGGGCCAAAAAAAATATACTTTGAAAATTGCCCAGTGGTAAACCTGCCTAATGTCTGTCTCTACCTTCCTCCGCATTTACCTGATGTCCTTGCCCTTTAAGCCAAAAATTATCTATATGGTGTAAATCCATCATCATTCACATGAAAATTTTGAGAAGGGGGCGAATAAACAAGACAAGTTTATAACTATATGTGTACTCAGACAAAGCTAATGCCATGGTGCCCATGAACATTCTGTTTTGCCACTGATATTGGTATTTTATGTCTGTTGATTGATTGATTAATTGAATATTAATTAGTTAACTTACTTTAATATGTGTAATAATTCTAAAGAGTCGGACTAAAATCAGTAAATTTATTATGCGAGATAATACAAAGAGATCATAACTTTCACCCAGACTCCTGAAAAAAAAAAAAAAAGAGTTTGTTTTGATTTGCGCTGGACAAGATACAAACTATCTATTTTTCAAATTTTGGTCTTAAATGTACATCTATTCAAGATACTTACTCTGTAATGGCAAATGGTTTACCAATCGAAGATGCATATGCAACTTCTATTACCTGTAATAATAATCAAAAGTCTGTAATTTATCTATACATACGATAACTGTTCTATAAATGAAATATTGGAACATTTTTATGTATTACTCAAATCATGTAGAATTGAGTTTCCAATCTAATTAAGAAGTTTCTAATAATAGTACCTTGTCCTCTTATGCATTCTAGTTTCACATCAAAGTACAAGCAGTGTTTTGTACTATGCAAAAAAAAAAAGAAAATGAGTTTAAATTGAATGAAATTGATACTTACAAATAAAGAGATAACTACCGCAAAATCTGCTATGTTTAGTTTTGATGAGAAGTATTTACGCCAACCTAATATCCAGATCTTTAGTATCTGTTGAGTTCAGAAAGTTAGAAAAGAAATAGACAATCATTAAGCCATGTCCACACTATCAATTTCATGTGACATGCCTAAATATGGTCATGATGACATCACATCATGACCATATATAGGCACATCACAACTATATATATGCATAATATGGCCTAATGTAGACAAAAATGTGTTTATTGTACTTATTAAGTCAATTAACAACTATGCATGTTTTAAATTTTTGTTAATTTTTAATCCAAAAATTAACAATTACACTGTGAATCATTGTTTCATTCTGTCTGCAGAGAACAGTGTGTGAATGTTTCATTCAAATTGATAATAAATAAATAAACAAATTTTAATGGATTAGCAGAACTAAGTGAAATATATACAAACCAATTCCACAATATAATAAATGATGAAAAGAAAATTCATGGCAGCAATTAAGCCTGCTTTCTTTTCTTCTTTCTTTTCGAGTCCCATTTCAATCTGAAAAAAACCCCCAAAAAACCATGTATTATAATCAATAATAACATTCATTGTTTTATCTCAGTATATTAGGCCAACAACTAAAAGAAACAATATAATTAAGTTGTAAGATAAAAAAAAAGTCTATGTTCTTCACACAAATAACAAATGTGTTACAATAAAGCAAAAAAATCACTACAAAAAAATCCCCATAGTCACAACAAAAATGCAACAAACGTAAGTCTAAGTCTTAAAAAGCTATTTCAATGTTAACATATACAGTAATTACAGTAATTAGCAAGATCGTATCTGTTGTCTACTGCTATTATAGCAAAAGGTCCAGCAGTGCTATCCGCTGCGCGATGCTCTGTATGTAACTAGCCAGCTACACAGGCTAGGCCGCTGGAAGTCCCCCAGTGAGTTGAGAGACGTTGGCGGCGCTGTTTCAAAATAAATCCCATGAAATGGTCTATATAGCAATTGAATTGCACCTGAGTATGAAAATTAACAACATATTTATGATTGACATGGTAGATGCTTTGCACATTCATGAATTACTCATGAATAATTCACAAAGTTAAAAATACATAGAGAACAAAATGACAGTGCTTACTGTGATACAGATGACATTAATGACCGCTATAAAACTGCCAAAGTAGGTGAAATATCGATGTGAAATGCATGATTGCACTTTCCTCAGAAATGGACCTGTTTGCAGAAGTTACTTCTGTAAGATTGAATGAGCTTTTCTTAACACATTTAGTTCTATTTTGCTGTGCATAGTGATAGTGACTCACTTCTGTGAGACAATTGTTAATAAAGTAGTGAAAACATGCAAATAATAAGTTAAGTGCAGGAGACCGTCTTGATTTCCCAGAGCCTCCTGCGACTTGAGGAAGAATTTGGACCCCTGTCAATGTCTTGATTTCACAAGACAAAAAAGCATGTTAAGTTTTACCTTTTTAACTTTTAGGTTTTTGTCTAGAACGTCAAAAAGATGACAGAAGTCTATTGATGTTACAAAGCCTCCCATTTTATCATCAAGTTCCTGGAAGTAATTACACAAGATACAGGTGTTATTTTACAGTAAACATAAAAAATAATCATCAGTATCATTACAATATAATATAAAAATGTCAAAATCATAATATGACTATACAAGAATGGATTTTGAATGTAAGAATTCAAACAAGTATCCTCACAATCTGAAAAACTGTAAAATGATTATTAAAACATGGTATCAACATCCAATCATAAAAATATATTAATTAATAAAATACCAAAATCCTCATCAAGGATAAATTGTTCAATTACTAATAAATATGAAAGAAGTATTTAGTCATCATGAAATTGTCAAAAATTACATCATAAATATTATCCACCCATTAATAAAATTACAAATATTATTTGTTCTATACAGTGTAAAATTGTATGTGATTTTTCAATTTTGCTTATGGTATTTTATATACTGTATCGAGAGATGCCAAATAAACAAAAAAAATTATACAAACAAATACAAGTAAACATCATGGAAAGTAATAATAAATATCACCAACATGAAAACAATAATCATGGCAACCTTCAAAATCATTAAAACATTAATAGTCATCAAAGAATCATCTCCATAATAGTAATCTCAAAATAATAGTCACAGTTATTACCAAATATATTTTGGTGGTGAAGACAATATGAGGACTAGGACAGCCAGAGAGTGCTAAATGCCTTTTCTCCAGCAGAAGCATTAATTTGTGAGTTAGTAATAATAGAGCATTGCATTACCTACCCTTATTATGGCTGTTTTGAAAACTTTCTTCATTTTAACTTGTAAAATAACTGACTTGACCATGCTCACGGGAACAGTATTTCTGGTGAAAAAAGGGAAGTTTATCTATGTAAATATTCATGTATAGATGAGTGGTGAAGAAAATGCAAAAGTGCGGTTTGGCGTAGTGGTTGCAGTTCTGTTTCTCAACCTTCAGGTCAGTGGTTCAATCCCTCGCTGTGCATTTCGCTTGTGTCCTTGTGGAACTTTACCTACGGTTGTATCCCTCCACCCAGGAGGACAAGTGGGTAAATTGAAAACACAAAATGTGCTGATTACAGCTGCAACATTATGGAATTCTCCGCAGGGAGCTGAGTATGTGTTCCATATGTGCTTGATCCAATGACCGGGGGTAATAATGTGAGGCACTTACAGGCCTTGCTGGCATGAAGAAGTCTAACATACTATTAAGAATGACAGACTTAAAAGGTATGTGGTGAATATGGGGAAACCTAAAAAAAAAATAGTTTTCTAAAAATATATAAAGTATAAAATAAATTCTCAATGAGTTTTCAATAAGTTATAGATATTTTACTACCTAGTTCTTTAATGCATTACTACATCTCAGCAAAATACAGTACACATTTTCTGGGAGGTCCAGACCCCCATTCCAACAACCAATTTTCACTATGTGGCTACATCTATTCGTCTAGATCCGCCACTGTAACATTCACTAATATTATATATCAAAGTAAGATAAGCCTCTCACCTAATTTGTCTTACTGTAAATGATATTTTTCCTTGTCGTCTCATAATTTCAAATGCAGCGCGAATTCCTAATCTTCGTCGGAAGAAACTTGCCTGCATGGAACTCTACAATAAGAAAACAAAAGTCAATTTAACACATAATCTTAGGTGTGAAATGAATAAACTTAGGAAAATAGTTAGGAGGATGAATCATACAACTCAGAATTGATGTTGTTTGTCTACAAGTGAGATACTTACATAGATGAAATGATATACGCCAATTTCCTTTTAGAAACTTACATAAAAAATAATTTAATCGTCCGACTCAAACGTATATAATGCAACAATATTATGCAACAGGCCTTTCCTTTTGCTGTCAGGAAGTATACACTTACCATTAAGAGGTTAGTTCATTAAGAGGTTAGTTATTCACGAAATAGAGAGGAACTAATTATTAAGATTAATGAAAAGGCAGTAATTGTGGAGAAAAAATAACTAATAATGCCTTACTTGTAAATATCCACGGAACTGGTTGTATATAACAGCAGTAAGCATATTAAAGAAACAGTAAAGTCCTAAAAACAAACAAAAACAAAGAATGCCACCATGAATATTAATAAGTTCATCAATATTATACTATGTATTTTTTGCTCCGATGAGGAGCTCTAGAAACACTCGGCTGATTGATTAATAGATTTTTACTGCTGCCTCTATTATACTGCCCTCATGAGGCTGATTGATTAATAGTTAATTGATTAATAGATCTTTTTAGGTCTACTGCCTCTATTATACTGCCCTCATGAGGAGAGCTCTAGAAACACTCGGCTGATTGATTAATAGATCTTTTTTAGTTCTACTGCCTCTATTATACTGCCCTCATGAGGCTGATTGATTAATAGATCTTTTTTAGTTCTACTGCCTCTATTATACTGTCCTCATCGGAGCTTTCAAGTTCTACCTTAAATATCTGAGGGGCGACTATTGAAATTTATCGTTTACTGATTCCGCTTTACAGTAAAGGTTTGATTACACAAACTTTAAACATATAAACCAAACAAATCAAGTAAAATCAATAAGAACACATAAAGCAAAAAACAATTTTGATTATCACTTTAAAATAGATTCTGTGTTTGAAAAAATGCCTGTCTTCATTGGACTCTTCCAACTTCAGCAGAAAATGAATAAGGTATTTTGCTGATCATTTTTTTGTTTCTTTTTTTTAGCTTGTTTTGGATTTATTTGGTATAAACACCAAAGGTAACCCCGATAGTCTGAAAAATATTTATTTCCAGTAGGGTCCTTCTGGTAGTGAAGGGGCAGTTCATCTGGAGACAATCCCCTACACTTTTCCAAAAAATGTACTGCATTCTTTAACATGCACATGGGCCATAAATGCAACAGGACCAAACGTCTTAAACATCTAATCCGAAAGACGGTGCACTATCGTAACTTGTATTTTAACCATCCAGCTGAAACACAAGGGGAGCAGCAATGGAAATTAAAACTGGGACAAAGAGATCTCCATATTCAGTGCACACACAGTGGCTACTACCAGTTTAGGCGAATAAGCAAAACTTATTGACTTTGTAGGACCCTACAGTGTATTTTGTTATAAAGACTTCTTTCCAAATCTGATTGGTTGATTGATAATATTTGAACCATAAGGATGATAACGTTACAGGAGAACGTGTTTCACAACCAAATTGTTCTTGGAGAGGAGGAAGAGTTTAAAAAAATGAAAAGTTAATTACCAATTGAAAGAAAGATTATGAAGAACAATGCATACATCCTATTTTCAATATAAGCTGGCATCATAACTGCAAAGAGAATATTGTTATGTAGTTATTTACATAGTGAATTAACTGAAATGACATGACAGAAATATTTTCAATGAAACATAAGCACTAATTTGAGTTGAGTGTTTGGCCAAGAGGTATTGTTCTTACTTCCTGCACTGTAGACCCCGATTCAAACCCGGCCATCGGATTTTAATTAGAGTCAGATCGCTCTGCTCCTCAAATAAACCTCGCATTAGAGTTAGGCGGGATAAGGGACAATGTCTTTGTTAGTTGTTGGTACTGGCACTGCACTGTGGCAGGAAAATTTTTAAATTTAATCTTTAATCTAATTGTTAAGAGTACTGTATACTCAATAGGCTCCAATCTGGAATATGGAAAAAATTTTAAAAATTATTTTAGCTTTAGCCAAACCAAGGACAGCAATAATGAAATTGAATCGGGGAACTTAGTGATCTTTGTGGTTTAGCACACATGCAGTTATTACCAACAGTTTGGCCAACTGATGTAATCACGAGTGCCAGCCTGCTTTCCAATTACTAATATGCGCATGTGTATGCAAAATAACATCAGTGTTGAAACTATTTATATACTTCTTGGTATACTTAACATACATCTTTTTTTCTTTGAAAACAGTAAGTTGTTTTTGCTGATTTACAGACATTTTACCGCAAAAATCTTAAAATTGAATACCAGTGAAGTTAAGGGTAATGACAAATGAACAAAGCTAATACACTGTGCTTTACCTATATCTCATTTACTTAAGTGTTCCAAATAAATACATACAAATTAAAAACCATGATGATGATTTATTGCCTCTACGCCGAGTAGTCTTCTGACCTCTCCGCCTGGGCTGCTTTAGTAAGGTTTCGGACCAAATAAAAAACATACTTAAAAAAATAATGGAACAAATGAATATTTTGAATAATTATAGTAATTTATTCATACCATCGGGGTTGTTTGCTGTAGTTAGCAACACCAGTAAGCTCCTGTATCCTCTACCAATTGAACTAAAGAACTTATCTTCGTTGGTTTTATTACCGTTGTCGGTATCGGTTGAGTTGCCCACACTGGAAGATGATGTCTACAAAAAATAATATAATAATAGTAAGTTAGGGAATCGATGAGTAATTTAATTAAGATAAAACATGATATAAATATTCGTAAATTAAGTAAAGCAATATAAATAGAATACAACATAGTATCTTCTTCTTGCGTATGAACTGATATCTAGTTACTGTTATTAATTGAATGCAACAGTCGTAGGAGGGTCACTAACGAGCAGGTAACAGTATGACCCTCCCATTTATACTCCTGGGTGAAGAGAGGCAAATGTAAGTAAAGTGTCTTGCCAAAGGACACAAGCAGTGCGACAAGCGTAGGTCTGGAACTCCCGATCTCCCAACATCTGCTGATGGATATTTATTTATTAATTTATTTATTTACTCTTTCTTTAAACTGTAGGCACTTTATAAATTATTAAATTTGTCAATAAGTGCTATCTGTGTTATTATATGAGGCTTGCCATACCAAAACCAGTAAATAAATATTGACTTTTCAATATATTCTTATTATCCATATTGTAAGCTTTAAAATTATTGGTTATTTATAGCAATTGACTAACAATTGCTAAAGTTATGAATAAAATATTATGGCTTCTCTATACTATCATATACATTACTGCCATATTCTTATACTAATTGCTCAGTTATTAGTTAGTAATTAGCGACAGTGTGTTGGTTTTGGAATGGCAAGCCAATTTCTATACAGAAATGTTTTATTATTAGTAGTAGTATGTACCTTATAAACTGACTAAATGTGTAATCAACCCATCAGATTGATTTTGGTTAATGAATTGATTGACTAATTGATTTATTGATTAAAATCACTAAAATTAATCATGTATATTTAGCTCAGGTACCGCAAAATTAAAAGTAATTAAAGTTAATCCAGGTTTCCATAAAACCACTACATACTATCGCTGACAATGGTTTGTAGAATCGGACAGCCTTCCCAATTGCATCAGGGACAGCTATGCAGTGCAATGATTGCAGTTCAAACACTGTAGCGACAGTGTAGCTATTGTATGTACTGTAAAAAGGATCATTACCTGTGCAGAGAATATGATAATGCCAACCATGGTAAAGAAGTATAAATGTAGCACCACTAACAAAATAACACTGAAAAAAAGAAACAATTTAAAAGAAACATTCTTGTAAATACAGAACCATTAGAAAAATATTGCTGGAAAAACCACCAAAAGAATGAATTTACTATGACAAAACAATTAATAATTAATTTAATTATTAAGTTGAGTTTCTGAATTAACAAAAATTAACTTTAAATATCAAATCAAATACAAAGTAGAACCACTATTGTAATAATAGAAAATTCAACTATTGTGTATTTTAGTTTCATATAATGACAATCAGAAATTATCAAATTAGTTTCATGTTTTACTGAATTTATTTTAATTATATATCAGTAACGAATGTAGATCAACTTCAGCTGGAAAAAAAATAATAATCTCATGTGAAATTAGACTCATTGCAAACGAATAAAACATGAAATCCGATAATTTCTGGGAAACAAACCTAAAAACTTCTGGCAAAGTCCTTTTTATACTCCTCACGGTCTTCTTCATAAGAGATGAATTTTGAAGGAGAAAAAATGGTCTTAATAGACGCCTGAAACGGATGATCTATGTAAAAAAAAAAATTATAAAAGAATCCATAGTGCTAGAGATCAAAATTAAAATTTCCTTGACAATTACAATTGACAACCACAGACAGAAACAAGAAAAGAGATAGAAACATTATATATATATACAAATAAAGCAGTCATTTAATAATAATAATAATAATAACAACAATAATAATAATAATCATAATAAAATGTATTTGTTTTAATCGATCACATATCCCTCTAAGCACTTTACATAAATCCTAAACTAGGGTGGAAAACTAGACACCAACCCGGTATTTATGAGTCAAGGTATTTAGGACAATTTGTTTGGTTTAAAAACATAAACAAAACTAGAAGTAACAATTATCCTTTCTTTGATAAAGAACTGCTAAATTATTATTCATTTCATCATCTTTTCTTTAGACTACTCATTTGAATTCTAACAAAAAACACAATATGCCCTTGCAAGAATATTTTTCATCACTACATTTTCTAGATTTGTGTATTCAAGGTTGTTACAATATAATAGGTATGACATAATTGGGGATAATTGTAAGTATATAAATGATATTCATGTTTCTGGCTACTGATTACTTATAGAGAAATCTGTGACACCATCAATTCAGCTTATTGCCGCCACCATGGTGGTTATGTATTCACCGCAATCTGTCTGTCTATTAGAAAGATTATGCAAAAACTAAGGAATGGATAAACATCAAATTTAGTGGAATGTTACATATAATCTAAGAAAGAGATGATTAAATTTTTGGAAGAAAAGTCAAAGGACAACTTTAAGGAAATTAAATTTTTTACCCTCGAGCATAAAATAATGGAATTGCCCATACTCATCCTACATATTTTTTGGTGTCTAGGCACAGGGTATACACTCTATGGAGTGACTACTCTTGTCTTGTTTCTGTATCAGAGACCCTATTTTCTCTATCGAAGTATCTATATACAATTACCTCGTTACAAGCAGTGTGGACAGAAACAATCCAATCAATTAAGGATGCTACAATCACTAAGACATATGCAAACAACCACTTCTGCTTCATAAACTGCTTGTTGCCAATCAGGTATGCCTACAAATATATAACAGAAAACAAAATAGGTTAAAAGAATTAAGTTTTTTTGTCAATTAGGCCAAAGAAAAGGACCCCACACATTTGAGATGTTGGGTCATCAGCCTTGGGCAAAAAAAACATTTTTTTTGCCTTATAACCCATGTTTTACTAAAATAGTGAAATTGTAGCACCAACAAAATACATTAAAACCTCAAAAAGTAGCCCATGAGTCTCTTTTATTTCAGACTCTTGAACTTCATTTCAAGATGAGCTATTTTTAAGGGCAGCCTCTAATACTATTTTATGTCTTGGTTTATCATTACAGCAAGGAAATTGGTACAATAATAAACTAACACTAACTATTACACCAAGGAAACTGAAATCATTAACTTTTATGCTTTGATTTCAAGTTGACTGATATGAAATATGGTACTTTGAATTTGGGTATTTTTAGCACTAATCTATTTAACAAATTTACTGTTTTATCAATCTGTCATTACTTGTGCAATAGCCTGGTTAAATATCACATTAATAAAAGCCAGTAAAATAAGTGATGCAACTGTTAAGACAAGGATTCCATGGGGAAAAAAAGTTTAAAAATAGCTGAAACATATCACCTGCTAAATTGTTGTGTTGCATTTAGCCAAACAAGAGGAAATCTCATCTCAATATGAATATAAGAAAGACTTGGTTAACTGCTCAGCTCAGGAGTATAGGTCTTGTTTTGGATTTTAGATTTAATATACCTTTTTCCGGAAATAAGTTTTAATTATTTTCCATATAGTTGGAACGAAATCCTTATTGAAATTGAGGCCGTGCAATTAAAGGCCAACTCAGACAGCGTCGTACGACACAGCCTGACATGATTCATCATCAAGGAACAGTCTTAAACCGTCGGGAGAAATATAATACAGCTAGCAGTTGAAATATCAAGATTCAGATTTATTTTGTTTGACCAATGATTATATAGAAATATTAGTGGCTAAACTTGAAACATGAAAACATGTATAATGGCTATAAATATATTTAGGCCTATTTTTACCTTCATCCAAATATCTGCAACAAAAATAAGGAGACAGACAAGTTCAATGCTTTCTGTCAAGCCACATGGCGCTTCAATACGTTCCTTTCTGTACCTAGGATCAGAACTCCAGCCTGTCGTTAGGGATGATGGGAACTCAAAAAATGCCAATAGAAGAATGACACATATAGCTGAACTAATAATCCTAGAAAATATAAAAAATAACAACAAAAATATAATAATTAATAATAATGATTATGCTACTAAGCTCCCAACAGATACAAACATCACATAAAGTAGGAGAGGTTTGATGCAGCGGTTCAGCTTCTTAACCTTGAGGTGTCAGGTTCAATCCCTTGCTGTGCATTTCGTTTTGTGTCCTTAGGCACAGTACTTCACCTACGGTTGTCTCTCTCCGCCCAGGAATACAGTACAAGTGGGTACCTGGTAGGTTCAAACACAAAAATGCACTGATTACCTGCAACAATGTGGAATTCTCCCAAGGGACCTCAGTATGTGTTCCATATGTGCTTGATCCAATGACCAGGGGTAATAATCAATACCGTAGCCAGCTATTGGGACAGTCCTACACAATTTTTCTAATGGGTCCACAAAGAATGGGTCCACATTTTTAAAAATGGGTCCAAATTATGTAATTTTATGCATAAAATGAGTCTACTTTTTGAAAAATGGGTCCAGTTTTCTCATATTTAGCCTAAAATGGGAAGAATTTTAAGAAAATGGGACCAGATTTTTAATATTTTTGCATAAAATAGGTCAACTTTTAAGAAAATGGGTCCACACTATTTGAATTTACGCCTATAAAGTGGGTCCTCTCTGATATTATCCTGCACTGTTTGAAAAATCTGGGCTACGGTATTGGTAATATTGCTAAGCGCATAGAGGTCTCTACAATATGCAATTAAAATATAACAAAGGTTTAGATGAACTATTTACTCCTTAGCAATCAAATATAAAAGTTTAAAATTATGATTATGCAAGGATGAAAAAATTTGGATTTGGATCATTTTTAATTAAAGGGATTTCTGATAGAATATGTAAAATTGTAATTGAGTTACAATAACACGGTTACAAATTGAAAGGCAGGACAATACAATTCCCAATCACTCTGAACTAAAATCAACTTGATCCTAACCAATTCAACCGAAAACTACGTTTGACGTACCAAAACCAACTCGAACCTTAATCAACTCGACTAAATAAAACCCCCAACGCTTACCAAAACCAACTCGACCCAATAAATCAAAGACCAACTTGCAACAAAACATAACACACAAAAAACAACATTTTAAAATATATTACTGTTGGTTGACTTAGTTTGGTTCGAGATGGAATACAGTCAGAAATTGGTTTTAGGATTTGGTTTGAGTTGGTGTTTGGCTCAAGTTGAGTATGGTACGAGGTCGAGCTGGCTTGTTTACAGTATAGGTTACTGGACAACAGAAAATATTAGCCCTAATTCCCATGCTTACCATTGTACAATTGGCGAATAATATAATCGGTAGTACCAAAGTGATTTGATATCAACTTTATGGTAAATACTTCTAAATTGGACAGCATCTTCGACAAACACAACTGCCTGTAAAAGTGCCTCAGGTTCTATTAGATGAAAGAAAGAATATCAATGCATGATACTGACAAAATGAAAAGTAGAAAAAATAATTCATATATTATGTATGTTATTATAAGCTAGGCACTGAGGACAAGGTGGCAGGTCTACCAGGTCTATGGCTGGCCTCAATTTGAATCAAACACTGACTACAAAAACCACTTCTGATTATGAACTCAAATGGTTACATTTCATATGGTACAAAAGTGTTGTATTTAGATTGCATTAGATTGATTAAGTAAGTGATGACAAACAACCCAAGCCAGTGGTGCTTAACCAACAGATATAAGATTTTGCAATGGAGTTACAAATGTTTAGATAACATGAGGACAAGAATTTAGCCTCAAAGCTTATCTTAGGGCAAATAGAAAAATTTATTAGATTATCACTCCCATTTGCATCAAAAATTTTGGAAATATTGATGCGGGAATAATTTTATTTTTTTCAAATTTATTTATTTAATTCATTTTTTTGCCACATCATTTTAACTGCGTAAAAACAACTTTGCAAAAAACAAATGCTCACAAAATATAAAGGAATTGGCTCCAAATTCGGCAGACTTAAAACTCTTCCAATTGATTAGATCAGACATTGGGATTGCTGTAAAATGCAAAGCCCATTCTTTAAACTTGTTGTTTACTGTCGATAAAAATAAACAGCTCGCTAACTGCGGCTAAAAGTAGACAACACCGCGGTCCGTCCCTAAAGAGACCCTCCCGGTGGGCTGATCGGATCATTAATTCACAGCGTGAATACTCGCGGTGTTCCACACCTGCGGCTAAAAATAGGCAACACCGCAGTCCATCCCTAGAGATCCGCCCAGTGATCGGATCGTTGATTCACAGCATAAGACTCACACAGGAACTCTTGCTGCTAAAAATAACTTTTTATATCATGCATTACAAGTAAGCGGTCTTCCTTGTGATGGGTGTGTTTGTTTGGATTGGTTGTTGTTGGGCGAAAACTAACCTATGACATTAAGAAAGAAAGTTTAGGCAAAGGCTGGCCTAGCTCGAAGTAAACACCAAAGCCTAGGTGCCTATTCCTAATAACTATAATTTGTTCCCTTCTCTTTGATGCTCGAGTAATGTCTGAATTTTTCCACTGGAATATAGGCCTATGCCTAGTTTTGGATAAGCCATTGAATCACAGGGAATCTCTGGGTATAATCCCATCCCCCACCCCCACCAAAAAAAAAACACAAAAAAAACACACAAAAAAAAAAACCTCCCGCCCTCATCAATTTTTTTAAAAAAAGAGAGTGATATCTAATGATTTCTTTTATGTGCCCTTATTTCAGTTGGTTAAGTACCACTGACTTGGGTTGTTTGTCATCACTTCAAGATGTCTACCAATTCGTGGAAAAGGTGTATTGGAAACATGGCATCTGATGAAACAGTTCGTAACAGAGAGGCCCTGCAAAGGTGCGTCCTTTCCCCTGTATTGTGCAGTATTTAAATACTAATGATTTCAAGGTTAATTTTGATGACTGCTGCTTAATCAAGTATGCTGATGACTGTGTCATCATTGGGTCCATTAAGATAAATAATGAGCTAAATTACAGTCTATTGTCAAATTTTTCACATGGTGTAGCCCACCCACCCATATGATTTTCTTAAGGAATGTGTTTTTTATTATCTATTTATTCATCTTTTTATATTTCTGAATTGCAATGTTTTTGACTATCGGATCAATCAACATTAATTGCATTTTTACCATGTTGTTGAAAATGACAATAAAGGAGTATCATAGTATAGTATTTATTCGTTCATACAATCATCTTTAACATATTATTTATTTGTTTAATATTCTACAATACTTATTATCAGGGAGAGAGATTCAGCAAAGGAGGAATTAAATTCAGATTAATTATTCTTTGTTGAAAGAAAATCAGTTCTTCACTAGTAAAGGAAACTTACAATTCAATTAAAATACTTTTGGCAGCTTAAAGTTCAAAAACAGTTCAGCAGAATCATGGATGCACATTTTTAGGTCTAATTAATAAGCTATAGGGCTCTAGCTAGAATAGACCTTAGGGCAAATAGAAAAATTTATTAGATTATCACTCCCACCTTCGTCAAAATTTCGGGAAATATTGATGCAGGAATAAAAAAAATATTTTTTTGCCGCATCAATAATATATTAACAGCATAAAAATAACAATGCAATTTTGTGACTTCAAATACATTTTCTCTAAAAACTATTAAATTATTGTAAGCCAGTTTTTATACAATATTTACTATTACAGGCCAAATATAAGCAGTCCCTCCCTTATCGATAAAAACAAAAGCGAAATAATCTATTGTTCCGTTTTTAAAAAAAAACAAAAAAAAACCGCTCTCCCTCATCAATTTAAAAAAAAAAAGTGTGATAATCTAATGATTTTCTCTATGTGCCCTTAGGTATGCTCGAGCGTCTTCGATCCGCAGACCTTCGATATTGAACTCTTCGATTTCTAGGCAAGCTTAGGTTTACGAAGGATCACATACATTCAAAAGCATACAAAGCACATTGAACGTGTAGGAGCATGTAAGGTGTTTGATTGGGAGATCTGGGGTTCGAGACCGATGCTCGTCGCATTGCTTGTGTCCGTGGGCAAGGCACTTTACTTATGTTAATTGCCTATCTCCACCCAGGAGTATAAGTGGGTAAGTAACTGGTAGGATGGTATGGCATTGAATATATGGGTTGTGCATGTTCAAGCAGCAATGAGCAGGGATACTCCCCAGGGAGCAGAGAAAAAAAACTAAAATTTAAAACTAGTTTTTATACAATATTTACTATTACACACGACCAAATATAAACAGCCCCTCCCTAATCGATAAAAACAAAAGCGAAATAATCTATTGTTCCGATTTTTAAAAAAACAAAAAAAACACCCTCCCTCATCAATTTTTTTTTTTAAAAAGAGTGATCTAATAATTTTTCTATGTGCTCTTAAACTAGGACTCTAGGCTACCTAGCCTAGGCCTATCATATGTATTTTTCATTTAAATTTTGACTGAATAAAGAATGAATAGAATAAGCGTAAACATTTCCCACGGCACTTCGAAGCCCACGCTACGCAGTACAAGGACGAACAACACACCCACAAACCACAATAAATGCAGGATGTACGCCTACATCAACCAGTCTAGACTAACTAGAGCCTCCTCTCTAGGCCTAGAGTAACTACTGCTAGGCTAGCCTCTGCTCTGTAGACTGTAGTACATTACTTACTGCAGTTTTCGCTACTCAAGTCGTCTCTACCAGATAACAATTCGTGTTCAAACTCTGCCGATGAATACATGCTATTTGTCAGAATGTTGTATGCAGCACCTGTGGAATCTTCGGACGTCATTTTGCCTATTAAGTTCCTTCCTTTTACAACATTATCTGCACTGGTGACTTTTTATCAAAACTTTAAACTGCCACTATCTGTTGAACCCTCTTTGTTGAACCATACCACAAAATGTTTTGATTCATGGATACATGATTGCGCATGACATCGCACGACCTGACGACACACTCTCTCAAAACCAACATCAAGCAGAGCCGTAGATAAGATATCTACGGCTCTGACATCAAGCAGAATATACTGCCCTCTATTTTTGTAAGAAAATGTCGGCCTCACGTTGTTTTCATAAACATTTATCAAATTTGTCTTTCTTTGATGTCTGTCGGAAACTAAATGCTCAAAAATGCCAACAACTAAGGCAATGCCACTATGGATCACTAGTTTCAACTTCTCTACCTGATGTACAATCTGAAATTGACCGTAAGTCAATTGTTTTCGTTTAGAAATTCTAGGCCAGGCCGGTGCATTGCCTCACTCCTTCCCACTCTCTGTTGAGACTGTGTGCGTGAGAAGCCTTCACTTCTCCTTGGCTCTACTGTCAATTTCGCTGTATGATTGCCTAGCCTAGGCGTAGGCCGTAGAATTGGATTTTTAAGGTTTTACATATGAAACTAATTAATTTTGTAGTAAATTTCACAGAGGAGCTGTTTTAGGTGAATCACAAGAATAAATATATGATGATAGGCTAATGAACTGATGTATAAATTTAAAAAACAGTGTTCTAATCTATAATCTATAAATGGCAATTTGCCAATTTTCAATTTAATATAATTTCTGTTAATAATTCTAGTGTGTGTTTATTAATATTTATTTAAGTAGTGAATCCTTAATAAATGCAATTTGTATTCTTACTTTTTCTATTTGTAGGTAAACCTACTGGACCGTGTCCCACACACACATAGCCTATCTTTTATTATTGCAAATTCCAATCGCTTAAAAAATCGGAAAATTGTTGTATATCTCCCAAAAAATACATTATGTTGAATCATGAGCTAATAATAATTTGGCATGTAAAATAAGTTTGACTTGAAAATTATTCGAGTTAGGCAAAGGCAACTTAGGCTAGTTTAACTGTACTACTATTTTTAGGACCTGGCTCGAGCTACAGTAGTATCGTAAAACTCCCCCATTAATTTCCTATGTACATTTACTATAGTATGTCTTTGTTTGAGGAGATGACATTTCGTAAGCCAAATTTTTCGAATATCTCTGCTGCGGACATTTCGTAACTCTGTAGCAGTCTGGGCTACAAAGTGTCTGCCACCCATATTTGAGGGTGCCAGACAAAACTAAAGATAGGAATTTATGACCTTCTCACTATACTTGGACTTGTTCCTTGGACTTTGTAACCTATCATTAAAATCAAATAATACAAAATAATATTTTGGATTAATTTCTGATTTTATCTGAAATCCCCATGTGCAAGGATTTTGTGGTAATATGATTGGTGTTGATAAGCCTAGCCTCAACCAAAGCAGATCTTATAACTAAGTTAATTGGATCCATTTCGCTAATTACAAAGCTAAAGAAAATATATATAAACTTAATTTATTCAGAAATACCTAAATTGTTTTGACATCTACAGTGTGCTAGATTTTTCACTACAAGCTAAAATATTTATTTTGTCTACCATGGATTTTGTTTAATTGTAATGTATTTAAAATTTGAATAATTTAATAAAATTGCTGAGGTATATGCAAATGAATGCTCAGAATTAATGTATTAGTGTTTAATATTTTTAAAAAAATGTTGTTATGTTTATTCAAACAAGTTTGATTGTTGTAATATTAGGTTCTTCACACCACTCTCAAAGAGGTAAGGCAATGAGGGCATTGGATTTGCGTCTACGTAGAAAGCAACCGGTAAGTTTTCAACCTTTTTTAAACAATAATTTTAACATTAAAAATACTGTATTTTAATTAATAATGGATATTTTAATGGTAATGTGATGATAGAAATAATGTTGATAAAGATAATATAAATGATAGAAACAATAGTAAATAAAATAATAATAATAATAAACAATAGTAAATAAAATAATAATAATAAAGTCAGGCTCATTTTTGATATGTTGTAGAACTGATTTTTCTAAGACAGAAAAAAGTTGTTTGACAAAAAACTGGGGAACGGTGAATGAGATACAGATTTTTTAATATTTAAAAACTAGGGGAATAAGGTGTAAAAATGGACAGTTATGCCCCTTTTTCCCCCAGAAAAATCAGTTCTACAACTTATCAACAATTTTTTTTCCTCCGGAGCCTGACTTTAATAATAATAAATACATTTCATATTAATTATACTATTAATCCATTGAAATTGAAGTTACCGCCACCTCGAGAGTTGAAGATGCATGAGGATCAGGACTGGTCAGACGTGTACCCTACAGCAGCTTCTTTCAAGTGGTCCGCAGTGCCTCTTCCAATAAGAATGGGTTATCCTGTAAAAAGAGGCATACCACCACACAAATATGGCAATGCTGAACTTCTCAAGGTATGTGAAAAGTAGTGTAGTGGATCTACAGTAGATATACAGTATAGTGCAATATACCATTTGTGCTTATTTTATCCTAACATAAGGTTGACATAATATGTCTTGTTACACTTTATAATTGGCCATTGTCTGGAATAACCTAAACCTCAATATGAGAATGGCTCAAATGTTCAAACTTTTAAAAAACTATTAACAAATAATTGAAAGTTACTTGCATAAGATAATACAGTAATTGTTTTATTTTGGTTTCTTTTACTTCTTGTTTGTCTTGTAATTGTTTTTGTAATTTAAATTTTGTTATTATGTACTTCAGAAACGGCCTTGTGAAAAAAACATTTAATTTGTGATCAAGTTTTCCGTTTTCAAATAAAGTCATTATTATTATTATTATTATTATTCACCATTTTTCTGATTAAAAAAATATGGAAAAGATAAATTAAAAAGATGAAATTTAAAGTGTTAACCTATTCATTATTAGCATTTTGCTACTTCTATTTAGGTCTAAAGATATGAGTTGCGCAACAGCCCAATGTCAATGACTATCCATTCAGTAATTCCTGTGAGCTCTTTCGTGTGTGTTGGGGGGGGGGGGTCGAAGCCCTGGGCTGACAACAAAAAGCAGAATTGAGCTTTTCTTACTACTACTCAGTACAGTAGAGCCTTGGCAAGTTTGTAAATGGTCAAAATAAATGATATATGATATTATATGATAGGAACCACAGTCAAAACATGTTGTTGTCATTTTGTTATAAAAATAGAATTGTTCTAGATGACTTGAATATTAAATATTTGATTCTTTATCATTTCAGGTGTCCTCTGCGGAAACAAAACTATGATTATGCTATGTATTTGCTTACAGTATTATTCCATGAGTCATGGGTAAGTAAATTTTATTGAACAACACTGTTTACTGTTTTAAAAAAATACAACCCTTTGTACATAGCATTCCCAATGTCTCCCTATCCATACTTGTCTTGTTGTTTTTCTTACCTGTCCCCATGTGGTCTCCTGTCCCCCATGCCATCTTTCTTACCCACCTTGTCTCTCAGTTTCTTTCTTTTCCACTTCATGGTCTCATTTTTGCTGGTCGTCTCCTTTTTTATGTGGTCTTCTTTCGCCATGTGTAGTGGTGGTGCCAAAGCTTCCTGATGAGCGTGCAAGGTTACTGACAGGGCATCCATAACCTATTTTAAGAATAGGCACCTTTAGATGCCTTGAAATTACATTCACACTATAAAAATGCTTTGCAAAGCAGTATTCCCAAATAAAATAATAGGCTTCTTCCTTGATGGGTGTACCAGGTTTCTTGAGCTCCAAACCCCTGCTGGCACTGCCACTGGCTATGTGGTCTCCCTTCACCACACCTCTTCCCCACCTTGACTCTTCCCAAACTTGTCTCCCTTTTAACTATTCTTACCTGCCTTGTCTACATTCACCATCAATATAAATGTTTAATTTAATATTCACCATACTCTATCCAAGCCTAGAATGAATTTAGCGCCTTGAGCACTACTGCAGTGGATTTGTGCGCTTTATAAATCTTATTATTATTATTATTATTGACTTATTGATTGATTTGCAGGTAACAGAGCCATGGGAGAGTGACATCACACCTGATGATATGGAAGAGTATGTTTGGGATTTGCAACCTTCAAAAAATAAAATCCTGCAGACACTAGCTAGGAATAATAGACAGGTACTTACATTTTCATAATTATATATATATGACACATGATCTTTCAGACTTAGTTTCGATATAGACAGGTATAAAATCATCATTCAGGTAAGTTTTAGTCTCTATGATGTGTTGTATGTCTGTGGATTACATTTACTTGCATATAAGATTTATATGCCCACATATTTTGTGCTTATACCAAAATCTTGCAAATTGAATATTGTCTTTTATTTGATGATGAATATGTATTTTGATTCAATATTTTAGGGAGAACTACACACTGAGATTTCAGAAGCAGAAGAGCATGAATTATTAAAGACTGATGGCATACAGGAGTACAAAATGGCAGTTGAAGCAATGATGAATACTGGAGAAGGTGAAGACACATTAAATGCGTACAAGAAAGCCGTCCTAAAGCTAGTACACTCTGATCTTGAGTCAACACCAGGCTTCACTAGCGAGCCCCGTAATATGGATAATAATGAAATGAGTTCTGAAAACACCAGTAGCAGTTCGGACAATGAAAGTGGTAGTAGCAGCAGTTCCGATAGTGATGATGATAAACAGTGAACAGTCACTACCTTGTCATCAACATTTTCTTCCAATGATGCCAATGCTACGATCAAACTAATGAACTGAATTTTCAAAAGTTTTAACTAACAAGCTAATTTAAAGAGACTTCATGGAACACTTGTAAACTCTCTGTAATAGTCCTATTTTTATTTCCCAGTAGCTGCAGTACAGTGTAACACTTCACCGTATGACGGTCATACAACCGTCACCCGACGAATCCAACTTCCCTCCTTGTGAGCTTTAGAATATGCGACGCCGCATTCTGATTGTTGGGGGAAGTCTGAACGAATCATTAAAAATGATGCATTGCATTGTATCGAGACTGTAGGCAACAGTAATGGAGGATCACCTATCTTGCAGATTGCTGGAATACTGTACAGCAGCTTGTTGAAATAAAGTGTAATGATAATACGGTATCAAACTGTTCATAGATCGCTGCAATACAGTGTCTAGTCGCAATAAAAGTCACATCTATAATGGCATGCCTGTTTTGGATATTATATGCTCTTCTGTACTCGTTCATGCACTCTACTCCAAATCGCTGAAAACACAAAAAATAGACTTGTAACTGGGTTATGAAACCTCATGTAATTATTAGGACAGGTACAAGCAGTGGTGGCACCAGCAGGGGGTCAAAAACGACATTTTTGGGCCATACTGAACAATAAAAACAGTGATTTTTCTTTATTCCGGTAGCATAATCTAGGCACTAGTTGGCCCCCTTGAGATGCATGCCTATAGGTCACTTCTGCCACCGGTTTGCAAATTCTTTACAGAAATTCATGGGCCCTGGGCACCACCACTCATCATTATGCCACTGATAAAATACACTGCTGTTACAATATTCTTTATTGTTCTCAGCCAAAAGCAATTTATTTAGTGAAACACTACAAATGAGAAGGCTGTTTTAACACATCCTTATAACCTTATCTTATTTACAATTTGTGTGTAGTAATCATACTGAAACATTGCAAATGGCTTACCACAACCTTTTCCCTCGTAACTCACCAGAGTTTAGTAGTTATTGATGGTATACACTTCTGATTAAATACATGCTTAGAATATAAAACTTAAAATAAACTAATTATTTGATGAAAATGAATCTCATGCTGTTTTAAACATCATGTAATTGTTTTTTTGGAGAATCGAATATAGGGACATGCACATATTATACCTCACTCTTCATTACTAATGAAAAAAAAAAACCCTAATATTAATAACTGAAGATGTTGATACCTTTGTAGTCACCAATATATATCAGTACAGGCCCATAACCAGGGTTTAGGGATTTGGCTGAAACGTGCCCCCACCCCACTGTAGTAGTATTATATTAACATGAACTTGGTTTGCCTGATATAAGAAAGCAGATTTGCTTCATGTGGGATTTTATATGTATTCTATTACAATCTTACAACCCCATCTTACCCCCTCTCTCCCCTACCTGTATCAACGCCTTGAATGCATCTCAATCTAAATACTCAATTCTTTACAAAAATCCTTTGGTTTCATGGGAAATATGTTAAATTTTGATGGCAATTAATGTCCAAAAAGCATCATAATAAAATTACATTAGCATTTTTTTATACTGACTAATCATATTGTTCTAAACTAGACAAATTATGCTTCAACATAAAACAAAGTAAGACACTGATTCTCATATTTCTACTTTAGTACTTGGTCTAACTACATCAGTATATTGCAACATATATTGATAAACAATGACAATATAATATTTTGTTACAAATTTTCTAGTTAATTATATGTTCCAGTATATACCACCAATCTGAGTTGCACTTAAATACCTTTTCTGTTTGCCACCTAACATTTACCAAAAGATCTTGCACTTTCTCTATCTTGCTGTTTTGGCTTAAAAATTATATTTCCAACACTGATTATTTTGATTTGATTATTTAAACAACATAAGAAATAAAACACCAAAATTCTGATTTTTCTAAGTGGTTTATAGGCTGTAAATCAACAAAAAATACTAACAAATAAGTTATACTCATTGATGCAATAATACAATACATATAGTTATTAATTTCCATCATATGAAATATCAAATCATTACATTTTTTCATTATTTTATCCCTACTGTACCATATTTAGTATCAACATCATCATTTTATCAACTTCATTAACAAATATCACACTTATCAGCACAATATTATATCATCACAATAATTTCATCATCATCACCACCATCATCCATTATACTGTATCGTCATCACAGGGGCGGATCCAGAATTTTTTAAAGGGGGTGGGGGGAGGGGGATGGGTGCCTTTAATTTCATAAAGGCCAATTATACATATAAATAACTTTCCAATAATGGTATGATTTGTGTTCAGTATGCTGGTACGAAATATAGTAACATTTAGTATTCATATGTCATTTTGTATTTTTCTCTTAAAAAATAAAAGAAAATGACAAAATCAGGAGCCATGTTCCCACGTCCCCCTCCCTAAATCCGCCCGTGCATCATCATCACTTCCGCATAAGTAGCAATCTGCTCATAGTGATCCTAAATGATTGTTCTCTTTATAAATGTATAATTGATGTTTACTTTCAATAGCAAGTATAAGTTCAAACCCTACATTAATAACATGATAGATTTAAAGAAAACAATTTCAATAATTACATGCATCTTTTATAAACTATATTGCAGAAGATAATCTTCCCTATACTTTTTTTTAAATTGAAATCTGAATCAAATAAACTGCATCTGAAATATCCAATGAGAATCCTGCCTTTTAAAAGTGTTTTTACATTGTGAATAATTGTTGTAAACTTTGCATTCAATGGCTTTTTCTTATTGAGATGCAATGAGATTCAACAATGACATTCCTATATATTTGTATTACAGTAGTTGTTTATGATAAATATTCTTGATGAACCATGATCATTGACCCTTGACTTTAGAATATGTTTCTTTTTTGGGACATTTAGAATGCACCATTGAAGTGCATTTTGTTTTGCTATCCTAGTGATAAAATATCTCAAAGCGAAGAAATAAAATTCTTCAATATTGGAAATTTCAGTAAAAAAGGCATTACAATATATTTCACAGTTTCTTATAAAAACAAAGTGAGAACTAAATAGCTATGATTAATATTGAAAAGGGCTTGGTTAGTGACGGATGTTTTCTCTGTGCTTTAATATGTTGATTTACTTTAAAATAAAGCAGCATTATTTTGGTAAATATTATATGGACAATTTCAAGACAATAATCCTGATTCAAACATATTTTGTCTCCAAATGTCTCACCGAGAGAGTAGTTTGTAGTGAAACCTGGTGCACATGTGTCTTGTTTCGTCCACAATAACATGCTAAAACGAGTCACAAGTTGCACATCATTAACTGACTAGTGCTTATATTCATCTGACTTAAAATCTGTGTCACATGACAATTCACATGACAGTAATGTTCTCAGGACGAACCGCCGCAGCATCCCCCGCTGCTCTGTTGCGTTGGCTCGTCATCAACAATAACAACTCTGCGAGCACCACCACTGCCTGACGGCCTACCGCTTCCAACACCACCTTTCAGAAAATCATCTGATGAGGATTTCTCCATCATTCCTAGAATAAGCAACAAAATTATGTAAAAAATTATGAAACATTTCCTACAAGAAACAACAATGTGAAGTAAAACATGAAACATTTCAAACAATAAGCAACAAAATGATGTAAAAAATTATGAAACATTTCCTACAAGAAACAACAAAGTGAAGTAAAATGTTATGAAATATTTCAAACAATAAGCAACAAAATGATGTAAAAAATTATGAAACATTTTATACAAGAAACAAAGTGAAGTAAAATATTATGAAACATTTCAAACAATAAGCAACAAAATTATGTAAAAATTATGAAACATGTTGAAAACAGTGAAATTTAGATTTTCATTTTTTTGTTTCGAGGATTTTCAATGGGTGAGGGGAGATTTTATGCCACTGGATGTGTGGTGTAAACAAAGGCAAAATCATTTATGTACATACATAATGCTGCCTAATCAGTGGAGGATTTGGTGAACAGGTTGCAGGGACAGATCCAGGGGGTCAGGTGGACTAGCCGCCACCCCCCCCACCTCCAAAAATAATATAGAGTAGAAAAGAAAAAGAGGAAGAGGGGAGCATGGTATTGTACCGTAAACAAACTGATTTTGACTTAGATATTTGGATAAGATTTCCATCAAATAGTCTTGCAAATCTTGTCAATTCCTTCATTTTTATTCATTTTGTTACCAGCTCATTCCAAGTGGTTTGCTAGGCGTTTTTGCATGCATACATATTAGCTGTGTACATCTTATTAGTGGATCAATATCTTTCACTGGCATCTTATATCTTTTTCACTGCCACCTAGGTGTGTTAACACTATCATATTATACAACCTGCTGATTGGTATGGATAAATGGGACAGCCTAGTTTGAATTTCAAACATTGTCCTGGATAGTGTCTCTTATCATATTTTGTGCAATATTTGTGTTAATTTAAGAATGATAGATGTATAATATTCTTGTGCTGATTAAGACAAAAAAATAAAATATACAATAAAGAAAAAAAAACTAACAGCATCTACAGAATTACAACCCCACAGAATTGGTAGGTTTGAGATATTAATTTACTTAATTAAAGGATGCAATTTATTGATTCAACAGTGGTGTTTCAGGGGGAGGGGATATGGGTGCTAGTCCTCCGCTAGGCCCCAAAAAAGAGAAGACAAGAACAGAAAGGAGAAACAGAGAAGCATACAGTAATACTCCAAAAGAAGCTAATTTTCGATTTAAATTCCATGTACTTTACCAGTGTTTGTTCAAGCATTTCTAAACAAACCTCCCCAACCCCCACTCGGTGCTTAGCACGTCGCATTGCCCCTACCCAGATTATTCTCTGGATCGGCCCCTGTTCAAGATGGTGGCAACAAAGGTTGAGAGCTGACTTACTTTTACTAAGATCCAAAAAGAGTTCTTCTATTCCTTTATTTAGTTTTGCTGATGTGTGAAAGTGTTTAGCTCCTACAGATGATGCATACCTGGAAATTGAAATGATGTAAAGCAAATTATTTTTATTATTTGGTTATTTATATAGTGCCTTTCTTTGCAGATACAAAGCGAATTTGACCCCGGTCATTGGGTTGACATACTTAAGTGCTGCTGCTGTAATCAGCACAAGAGCAGGCAACCCCACCAGGTACCCATTTATACTCCTGGGTGGAGAGAAGTAATGCAGACAAAAATACCTTGCTCAAGGACACAAGCAAAATTCACAGCGAGGGATTGAAAACCCGACATCAAGGTTGGGTAACCAAACCATTTCTAATGCGCCAAACCACTTCTACTTGATAATATTGACATACTGTGTATAGAGCATGTGTAGTACATAGATATTAGTGCATGATGATGAATAAAATAAAGATGGTAAATGTGACAACTTCAGGAAACTTGGTTGCTGAGTGCATCTATAATCTGAGATGAGAACATCAATTGCATTTGTATTAGGGAGTGATTTTACAAAGTATGCAACTCCTTAAGTATGCAGCATTTGTAAACTCTGATGCATTTGATCCTCAAAAGTCAGAGGAGCGATTACAGAATTAGTTGTGATTCTGGGTTTAACCTAGAGGACGAGGGTTTAAACCATTTGTGTTCTTGGGCAAAGGTACAACAAACCCTGTATTTACAATTGTCTGCCGAACCAGGAGTATAAATGAGTACCAATACAACAAACAGCTTATACGTTGTCATGTGAAGCAAGTACAGAATTTTTATCTATCAAGTGAAAAATTTTTCTGAACGGTAAATATGTATATCAACTTACGCTTCTGCTTCAGCTACAGACACATGTCGTTCTTTCTCTAAATCTATCTTATTTCCTAAATTAAATTTAAAAACACAAATATATCAATATTAATAACAATACGAATAGCAACAGCATTTGAATTGTGGCTATTCACTACACAACAATTACCATATCTTTTTAACAACAGAACAAATAGGGAGAACTTTTTAATAGTAATTGAGTTTGCCTCAAGCACTGTCCACACTCAAGTTTTATGTAGACATTAAATGTGACATGCCCATATACTTAGGTGTGGTATGACATAATCATGCCTATATATGGGCTAATCACACATATTAAAGTGGATAGCAGGCTCTGATTACCGTAAATGCTTGAATAACCACCGCATTAAACATGATTTTTTTTGCTAAGCGCCACTCTCAAATAAGCATCACAGTGCTTAATCGAGAGTGTATTTACCCTGTGTAATGAAACAATTCAAGAACCGGGGTTTTAAATGCAATGTATCCAGTGTTAAATGAATAAATAACACAATGAAGACACAAGAATTTCTTTATAAACGTTTATTTACGATGAAGTAGGACCTATGATAGGCCTACTGAATTACGAGAATACGTGAGATAGCCTATGGGAACGGGCATGGAAAACGCCACGACAATATTTTTTTTATAAACGCCGCTCTCAAATAAGCGCCACATTGAAGCCTCCAAAAATTTTATATCCGCCGCAGCCCTTATTCGAGCATTTACGGTAACTATATATTTAGTGTTTGTTATTGTCTGAAAATACATACATACATTGATACAGTAAATGAATTATCTATTTACTTGCTCACAATTACATATTTTTAAATTAAATAATTATATTTGAACTGATTTTGTTCTATATTGCAAATATATATGAACATCTTCATTATACAAATATTTACTTTAACAAATTTAAAAACATGGTTGCAAAAAAATTTTAATGTAAATCATACATTCAGATTATCTTACCTGCTATACAAAGGCATATATCGTTTCCCAGCATTTTTTTTAATTCCCTGACCCAATTCTTTACCTAAGAAAATCACAGGTAGATTTAATAAATGATGTACAGTACTTGAATAAACATCTATACTGTACTTAAACTAAAAGACATGTAAATAATAATTTAGCATACAATAATATATTCTTAATAAGTACATGTATTATGTTCAAATTAGGCAACCACCAACAAAATATAATGTAAATTTTTAATAAGAAGATCGTCTGGCATTGCATCACGTAAAAATTTTATTTTGCCTAACAATATTCATATTGTTAAATGTACAACTCAAGAAACAAGATTCTTTACCTTAGTGAATGAATCTTCATCTGTAATGTCATATACTAATATGGCTCCATTACTATCTCTATAATAGATTGGACCTAATGCATGAAACCTCTCCTGCCCTGCAGTATCCTACAGATTACGAAACAAAAACATATAAAATTCATATAAGTGGCAAATTATAAGAGTTCACTAATAACATTAAGTTCAATGCTTATGAATAAAACAAAGCATTATGGGTAGAATTGGTAGCATACTTTAAAGCTGTCTACAGTAGCACACTCTCTTTGACAAAACAAAACTGTTGTATGCCCATATGTGGGCAAGATGTGCCTATATCGGCCGTTCAATGACAAAACAATGTAACTTGAAATTTTCACTTTTGGAGAAAAATGGAGTTAAAGTTTGCATGTTCCCAACTTTGCAATAAAATTGTTGTACCCTTTTGAAATTTTGCAAGATTGTACATCTTTTGACATTTTGATTATATGTAAAATTTTAATTACAGTGCATCATCCAGTTTGGTTGAGACCAATGCTGTAGCCAGCTATTGGGACAGTCCCACACAATTTTTCTATTGGGTCCACAAAGAATGGGTCCACATTTTAAAATTCAGTCCAGATTTCTCATATTTTGTGTAAAATGGGTAAATTTTGAAGAAAATGGGTCCAGATTATTTGAATGTCCGCACAAAGTGGGTCCACCTTGATATTGTCCCACACCGTTTAAAAACCCTGGCTACGGCATTGTTTGAGTCCCCTCTAATTCTGAGACCACTCTAATTCGAGACACTCTTCTAAAGACCCAAATAACAATCATCAACCTTTTAACACAAAGCTAGCCCTCTAATTGGAGACCACCCCAAATTTTTAGGTCTCAAAGGTGGTCTTGAATTGTAGGGTGAACTGTACAAACGTTGCTTATTGCAAAGTTATTAGTGATAAATACAGATACTTTGTTTTGCCTCGGAAACATGTCAGGCTAGGTATTGGTACACATTTTTGGAATTTATCATGTTTAGGGCAATCATATGCATTACCTAGCTTGTTCATTCATCACTGCTAAGATAAATAAAAAGAACATTAACCATTTGATTTTGCCTTGCCAAACTCCATCAGCTCAAGAAAATGTTTGAATACTATTCCGAGGCAAAACAACATATCTTCATTGCAAATGTTGTTTTGCCCCGCAATCTTGTTTTGACAAGGAATATCACTTGATTTGAAGTTTTGTGCTTAAAGACAGATGGTGCTATCACTGAAACAACTCATTATTAGAGACCTGAATTCAGACGTGTTTAATATACTCCCAAAAGATGATATCTCAAAATCGACAAAAATGTCGGTTACGTTGTTTTGCCTCAGGACAGCTGATGGTCATGATGTGATGTCATCACGACCGTACAGTATAGGTATGTCACATGTTTTTTTCAAACATAATTTGATAGTCTGGACAGGGCTTTAGTGTTAAGATTCACACTTGAGAAGCGATGAGGATCTGACAGGTGAATTATAATCACATACATTTATACGATGCTTACATGTACAGTACATTTCCACTAAAACTTAATACTAATCCAGTAATCACTCCCTGCCATCCTATAGAATGTCAAGTATACAATTAATTATAATTAACTAATTAATATTTCTTATCCATAGTAAAGATGAACATTCATACACTGTATACTGTACATGAAATTTATAAACAATATTAAGAGGAAGAACAATAATAGTTATGATAATCAAACAATACGAAAGGATAAGAACATACATTATAATTTATTAATTATAATGCATATAAGACAAGACTTTTTTTATTCCTTGTCTCGCGAACTTATTTTTTTAAAGGTCATCAGAGAAGGGTGGAAAAAAAATAAATATAAAGTTGTGTTTTCTTATTTAGCAAATAGTTTTGCCAAAATTATCCAGATTGAGGAGAAAATGAAAATAAAATTTTATTGGTATTGTACAGTGTAGTAATGGGATGGTTAAATGCTTTAAATTTATATAATTAGAAAGAAATATATCTTATCTTCGGAGATTTCAAACTTGTATTTTTTTCCCCATAAATTTCCATTTTTTCGTGGCGGCGGGCACGCTAATTTTAATTGTTATTCAAAATCATCCTTATTTGCAAGCGGCGGGTTTGCTAAACAAGGTATAAAAAAAGTCTTGCCTAATAAACAAATACTACACTAAAAATTATAAATTAAGGAATAACATATAATAATAAACACTCCAAAAAAAAACACCAACAACTAACATATAAACACTAAGTACAACGCCAATATTGACTCTAGAGCATAAATTAAACAACTGAATTACGATATTTAAATATCTATTGACGACTATAATTTTAATATAAGTAATATTATCCAACAATTATTATTAATGTTGTATGTCCACTTTTTTTTTTTTTTTTTTTTTATATATCTTTGCTTAGTTAAAAAGTGAATTCAGACTAATAATAATATAATTTCCATGATATTTGATGAAGATATTATGGTAAAATATTAATTGATTAAACTCGACAAATATTTAATAAGTCTGTACCAAATGGAAGACATAATTTAGATGAATATATTGATGTGAGGGGGGTTTGCTTAGCAATACCTTAGAGTAATGCACAGGGAGGAAAACTGTGAAGATCAATACTAAGCAGTAGAGTACTACAGTATGTGAATAATTAAACTCGATTCGATATTCCAAGAATACAGTACTTTGTTATGCTATGTCAATAGATAAAACGTAAAAAAATTATCATTTTGAATATTATTTATGTTGTTTTAATACAACAGAAAACATAAATATTTCTTTACTTCTAACACACACAACATTTAAAAAATAAAATATTTTAACAATCACAGAGATAAATAAATGATATTGTAAACAAGTTGCAACATAAACTTGTGAGTCAAAACTATACTACTGTACTTCGAGCTGGTAAATGTGTTCTTTTGTTTAACACCATTACACACGTTGATTTACACTCTCACCCACAATGCTGATCATTTAGGATCATTGATGCTAATACCCCATTCAGACTAGCATCACATTGCGATCGGTTGTAGCAATTGCGACACCCAATTGTAAAGTAAAATCGTGTGTGAAAGCTCACCAATAGCAGTTGATATGTAATCGATATCGCAATTGTTACCCGTTGCGATTGGGTGCTACAATCTTTAATACTCCCGATTACCACGGAATCTGATCGCAACAGATCACAACGTATTCCACAGGCACTGTTTGGCTGAGGTCAGGCAACATGGGCCACTGGAGGCCTAGGCCCTAGAATGTAAAGTTTGTTTGTGTTGGTCTGAATGCGTTCGTTGATTGCGATCGAGAGTAATCAGTTTTGGAACCACCGATTACATCGCAACCGATCGCAAGAGAGTGTAGTCTGAATAGGGTATTTGGCTAGGAAAGTGTGATCATTTTGTTATAAGGAAAATGGGTACATCCCCGACGGTGCCCACTCCCCCACAAAAGGTTGTACCTCAGACGCTACTTCGATCCACTAAAACCTTAATGAGCAAAAATTTATGCCGTAGTTAAAAATCACCTCATTAGCCCAGTTATCTCACATAGTTTTCTCTTGCACCACCTGGAATCCCCATCAGCCCATGTCCAGGGGTCCCAAGTTTAGAAGACCTCACTACCGGGAAATCTGGTTGAATGAGCTTCGTGGGTGATTCTACAGATGTCCGAAAGGAGGGGGCCCAAAAGTGGGGTCGACTGCGACAACACTACCATAGGGGGTCCGGGAGCTTTTTTTCTAAACACCCGAAAATAACCTCTGAAGGCATTTCGGGCAATCAATTATTTCTTTTTCTTTCCTTCCTTTTTTTCCCGCCCCTGAGCTTTTGCATCTAGCTCATCTTGCTTGCTTGCAGGAGTGAAGGAGGCTGCGCCCAGACTTGGGAACCCTGTACATGTCAATACTACTAAATGCTACTCACCACATCCTTCAACTACTGTTGCAGTTTGAATTCATGATATTAATAGTTTGATTACAATATACTGAATCAGTGAATATCATTAATTTATTATTGTTATCATCATTATTATTAAGTTAATTTAATATACATCTAAATTATTGTTATTATTTCTATTATTATTATTAATACTATTATTATTAATATTTACTAGGTTATTAAAATTGTATGTTATAAATTACTGTAAGGATGGTAATTATTTATGTACTGTAAACCAAAACCAACATTTGACAAATATTTCTTAAACAATTTATCAAGCAAATGAGCATATGGCGCTCAGTAAATAATAAAATCTGGTATGAATTCAACATATCCACTTTATTTACATCAAGTCACACTGGGCAGACTCATTAAAATAAAACCTAACATTATTATTATTCCTAAATGACATCACCATATTTCAATTTGGCTTATTGATCTTTGAATCCATCAGATTTGAAACTTGGATTAATTTTTTGTCCACAAAATATGGAACTCAACTTCCTGTTCATCATATCCTGCTGGTAATTGGTCTCTGAAATCGTACCTTAGTCATCATGCAATTGATCTATATATAACAACACTGGCTACAATGACCCATTGGTGATAGGCTACAATAAGCCAAGCTACAGCAACCCACAAACATTGCACCTGGTCATGTTAAGCCTGGTCTCCATAAAATTACTACACTGTTTTTACTGCAAATGTTAATCTGCATAGCTATGCCCGACACAAATGTGAAGGCTCCCCAATTAGATCAACCAATCAGCATTGCAGACACCTGTCATTTACAGTGTTTAATGTAAACAGGCTTTATTATTAAACCAGTATCATAACACATACTGACTGGTAAATACCAGTTCAACATGACCCCAGTGTGTAGAACAGCTTTCCATGAATCTGGATCATCATTGAAATAAATCTATTATTAATATTAATAAAACCAAGCTGAAGCAACTGACTATTTACATCAAAATACATTGTCTGTTTCTACTCTACAAATAAAATGAGGGGTCATCCATTACTTTCATTATTTTTACAAGAGTACAAAACATACACATTTCAGGGACACCCTCCCTCCCACTGAAAGAGTACACAAAAGATGTTTTTTTAATAATTTTTAGAAATCATCTTTTTATCATAAAAAGGTACATACAGTATGCTTTCACTGTCAACCTCCTCCCTCCTAAAGAGTATGTTTTGTATTCCTGCAAAAATTATTAAAATAATGGATGATCCCTAACTGGAATAATGAAACTGCTTTGTTATTGCATTGACATTCATAATTTTTCGAGTAGAATGTGAAAATCTTACCCACACAGCCAGATTAACTCGCTTGCCACCAATGTTTAACTTTTTATTAAGGAAAGAGGCCTGCAAAAAAAAGAATATTAAAATAATGCAAAATAAAACAGACAAATATTACATAACCAAAATATGATTAGGATAATAGGCAAGGATATATTTGTTTATGATTACATCATTTGTATTTTAAATGCTTCCTCTATCTGTCAACTTGAAAACAAAAAAACCTTATATTAATATTATATTATTACTCATTGCAGTGTAAATAATACTGTAGCACCTACAAATGTATGAACTTTGATCAATTTGGAAAGTTATTAAATAACCAATATTCTGTAGCTCCTAGGACATACAGAATTTCAATAATGCATGATTATTAAATAATGCATGATTTATTAATATTGCAAATTTAATCATCATAACCATTAAAGATTTTCCTTTACTGTGTGGGTACGGAAGCAATTCATTTGAGATACCATAGTCTTCTGCTATTTGTTTGATGTTTCTGGCCTAGGTCTCCTCAGGTAAGAAAGAAAAGACAATCCTACATGTATTGCACATTCATTTAACAAAAAGTCAAACTTTCGTTACTACTACACTACAAAGGAAATAATTACAGTAGCAACAAAATACTATATGCAATTGGGGTTTGGCATGGTCTGGCATGGTCTACACGTATTTGCAGAAATCTGTGGGCTAAGATCCAATAATTGTTTGAAACAAACAGCAAAACTGGTGGTGTAAACGAAACCAGTATCTGTTTGTTCTTGGCCATTATGGTAGTGTCTACAATGTATGTTGATGTTTGCCAAAAACAAGCAAGTCAGAGTAAGAACAAATAAGAAATCAAAAACAAAGCAATAATAATTTTTTTTAATAGTTGGTGCTTCACAATTAATTTTTAGATGCCAAAGCTTAATAATGGGTCAATAATGCAATGGTTCACTCTAGATGCTAACACTGTATACCATAACTTATATTAAAACAAGCATCATGGCTGTTTCTTATTATTAAAGATGGTAACATCAGGCCTACTACTAATAGTAAAAATGGTGTATGCGCCAGTTTGAAGCATTTTAAGTTTAAAATTAAACCATTTGTGACAGCATTTTTTTAAATCGGGTAGGAAGACTAATTATAATATTATGCATAAATCCTAAGGGCTTTGTACTTCAGTATGTCATTGTGTAGAAATGAAACATACATTGATCGTTGGACTCGGATGCGGTAAAATGATTTAACCAATCAGCTAACAAACATACTTTGCTTTTTACAGTATTTGTAAAGAATCCTGCAATACAATTGTTAACATAACATTCAAACAGGTTTTTTGGCAATAATGCAACCTGACTATTTTGTGAATAAACAAAGAATAGAGAATAATGGGAATTGCTACAGAATAGGGAAATAGAGGGAATATATACTGGCACCAGGTGCTGCTTATATTTTTACCTCATCCAAATTGAAATTAAACAGACCATAAACAAATTATAATTTCTCATAAACACATTATTTAGCTGCAGTGCTAAGCTAGGATATGATGCACACATAATTTAAAAGGAAAATGATACTGAGGGTTCTAGACCCTTCTTATAAAAGCTATCATTTGGCTTAAAAAGCCAAGGTACAGTGTAGTAGCCAATGACATCATGAGGCCACTGGTAATGATGTGGCGTAAATTGTTACCCAATGATTATAGAGTACAATAGTTGTGTTGTCACAACACCAGGTGGCGCCCTTTGTTGTCAACCAGACATTGGTTACCGTTTATTACGCCTGAATAACTTCAAAATCTTAATGGTTTAGAATAGGCTTTCTGGAATAAGCATTTTACAACATAATAATTTACCATCAAAATGTACTAACAACACAAAAGCTCGCATTATATTAGTTACTGAACACGTATTTAATCATTAATTAAAATTTACAAAGAAAAATTACGATACAGCATCTTAATAATTACGTTAGAAATTGGGATCAATGGTTTGTCGATGGACAAAATGGCGTCAGGTTGAAATTCATTTTGTGTTGCCGATAGCAACGGAGTAGTATCACATGGTATCGTGATGTAACACTGTAATACTCTATAACAGTTGGGGCAATGGACATTTCCGATAAACCCCCACCCCTTGGATATTGTTGCTAAGGTCACACAAAACAACAGCATAAACTTTGATTGTGGAACAACACATGTGTTTGTAGAACATGCAAATATTCCTCGCCCTGTTCTGATTGGTCAGTTGTTAAGTTTGAATGATCTATTTCGCACAGAGGCAAGGGTTTGGAATTTGGGGCGAGATGTTCAGGGTGAGATAGCTGTCAATGCTGTTATTGGGTTTGTTTCTCATTTGGCAACACACGCTGCTCTAATAACTTCGTCCTTTGAATGGAATGTTAAAGCCCTTTGGTCCTGTACATATCCCATGTGTACAAAAAGAACTTAGTACACTATTCATAGTTAACATAGGAAACAACAAACCTGTAACGTAGAAAGATGCTTGTCATTGAACTTATTTTCAACATATCGCAAAACCAATGAAGTCTTCCCTACGCAGCCTTCACCCAATAATACAACTTTAAAATTGTGCCCTCTGCCTCCTCCTGCATTTGTTGCAGCCATGGCACATACAGTTCAATGGATAAAGGGGTAAAATTTTTCCTACTGAATAAAGTCAGTCCTATAACGTATAGGCCTAAAGAGTGTCGACCTTAATAAAAATAAATAACCTTCCTGAAATCAAATACACTTCAGAATAATATGGCTGCCATCTATAATATCATGACGTCATGAGTCATATGAGGGCTCAAACAAGTTATTGGAAGAATCCATTAATTAAAGGCAGTAAGCCAATTTCAAGATACTGTATTTGTATAATATAAAAACACAGTTTGAAATTATTATGTTCTAATAAATATTTCTGTGCGGCCTCTGGTTCCAGCAGCAAACTATTTTTTACAAAGAAGAATATGTTTGTTCATCAATAAAGAGCTAAGATTAATTTAAAATTAAAAGAGATTGTACTGTACGGGCGGCCTATTTAGTGGCGGATCCAGGAATAGGCGGGAGGAAATAGGTGGGAGGGGGAGTGAGTGGGAGG